GCCTTTTTATAGGTGAATTGATTCCATTGATATTAAGTGATATTAATGACCAGTGGTTGTTGACTCCGAATATTTTTTGGGGCGGGGTAGTAGAGTGTGTGTTTCTGTTCTTTGAGATGTGCTTGTGAAGGTTCGCTAGATGTCTGAGTTATTGTAGGCAGTATTGGCAATGTTGGATTCCTTGGGTTGTGATTTTCCTTCTAATACTTTCTGTAAGGCTGAATTTGTGGCTACATATTGTTTAAAATTGTTTTTATCCTGGAATATTTTGTTTTCTCCGTTGATAGTGAATGATAGCTTTGCTGGGTATAGTAGTCTGGGCTTGCATCCATGGTCTCTTAGTTTCTGCAGTACCTCTATCCAGGACCTTCTGACTATCATGGTTTACATAGAGAAGTCTGGTGTAAGTCTGATGGGGTTTACCTTTATAAGTTACTTGATCTTTTTCCTTTGCAGCTCTTAATATTCTTTCTTTAATTTGAATGTTTTGTGTTTTGATTATTATATGGCAAGTGGATTTTTTTAAAGTTTATTAAAATATAAAAGTTTCCATTTTCGACCCCCCTCCCAACACCCCCCCACTCCCCCCACTCCCTCTCCTCTTCCCTCTCCATCCCTAAGAGCAGTCTGGGTTTCCTGCCCTGTGGGTAGTTCAAGTTCCTCCCTGCTCCCTCCAGGTCCAGGAAGGTGAGTATCCAAACAGACTGGATTCCCAAAAGTCCAGAATATGCAGAGGAAACAAGTCCCAGAGTCATTGTCAATGGCTTTTTAGAAAGACTTCGGGTCAGCCACATTCAGGGAATCCCGCCTCCTCCAGAGAATCTGGTTGGATCAAGCGCTCCTTCAGTCTCAGTCAACTGGCCTTGGTGAACTCTCATTAGATCAGTCCCCTTGTATCAGTGGGTGTTCGCTCCCCTTGCGGTTCTGATTTCCTTTTTCATGTTCTTCCTCCTTCTGATCCTCCCTTGGACCTTGGGGGGCTCAGTCCGGTGCTCCAATGTGGGTCTCTGTCTGCATCGCCATCCATCGCTGGATGAAGGTTTTCTTTGATCTTGCCCTCCCTGCTCACATTCTTTTTCCTTCTGCTTCTCGCTTGGACCTAGGGAGTTAAGTCCAGTGTTCCAATGTGGGTCCCTGTCTCTATCTCCATCCATTGCCAGATGAAGGATCTATGGTGATAAGCAAAATATTCATCAGTATGTTTATGGGCCAAGACCAGTTCAGCCACCCTCTCCTCTCTCCAGAGAACAATCTGGGGATGTCTCCTTGGACCTGGGATCCCATTTACAGTCAAGTCTCTAGTAAACCCTAAGTTGACTTCCATAGTTGAGATATATTCTTCCCTGAACCCATATCTATCCTTCCTCCCTACCCCCCTCCCAGTCCCCCGAGCATTTCCCATTCCTCCCCTGCTCCCTTCTCTCTAACCCTCTCCCCTTCCAACTACCCTCCCATCCCCCCATGCACCCGTGTTTACGTGGAACTCTTGTCTATTTCCAATCTCCAGGAGGAAAACTACCTGAATTTTCTTCAGGTTCACCTTCTTATTTAGCTTCTCTAGGATCACGAATAATAGGCTCAAAGACCTGTAATTATGGCTAGAATTCACTTATGAGTGAATACATACCTTATTCCTCTTTTTGGGTCTGGCTTACCTCACTCAGTAAAGCGTTTTCTATGTCCATCCATTTGCATGCAAAATTCAAGATGTCATTATTTTCTACCGCTGAGTAAAACTCTAATGTGTATATGTTCCACACCTTTTTTAACCATTCTTCTATTGAGGGGCACCTAGGTTGTTTCCAGGTTCTGGCTATTACAAACAGTGCAGCTATGAACATAGTTGAACAAATACTTTTGTAGTATTATAGGGCATCTCTTGGGTATATTCCCAAGAGTGGAATTGCTGGGTCCTGAGGGAGGTTGACTCCCAGTTTCCTGAGAAATCGCTACACTGATTTCCACAGTGGCTGCACAAGTTTGCATTCCCACCAACAATGGATGAGTGTTCCCCTCATTCCACATCCTCTCCAGCATAGGCTATCATTGGTGTTTTTGACTTTAGCTATTCTGACAGGTGTAAGATGGTATCTCAAAGTGGTTTTGATTTGCATTTCCCTGATCGCTAAGGAGGTTGAGCCTGACCTTAAGTGTCTTCTGGCCATTCGAAGTTCATCTGTTGTGAATTCTCTGTTCAGATCAGTACCCCATTTTTTAATTGGGTTAATTAGAGTTTTAGTGTCTAGTTTCTTGAGTACTTTGTATATTTTTTTTGATCCAGTCTATTCTGTGTTCTGTATGCTTCTCGAACCTTCATAGGGATATCATTCTTTAGGTTTGGGAAGCTTTCTTCTATAATTTTGTTGAATATATTTTCTGGGCCTTTGATCTGTAATTCTTCTCCTTCTTCTACCCCTATTATTCTTAGATTTGTTTTTTTTTATTGTGTCCCACATTTACTGAATGTTTTGTGATGAGAGTTTGTTGGGTTTGCTGTTTTCTTTGATCAGAGCATTTATTTTCTCTATGGTGTCTTCAGAGTCTCAGATTTGTTCTTCTATCTTTGTATTCTGTTAGTTTTGCTTGTTTCTGAAGTTCTGTTCATTTACCTAGATTTTCCATAGCCATCCGGCCCTCAGTTTGTGTTTTCTTCACTGCCTCCATTTCAGTTTTCAAATCTTGAACTGTTTCCATTACCTGTTTGATTGTTTTTTTCTTGGTTTCCCAGGGTTTCATTTACGGATTTACTCATTTCTTCAAACTTTTTGTTATACTTCTCTTCCATTTCTTTACTCATTTCTTCAATCTTTTTGTTATAGTTCTGTTCCGTTTTTTTATGGCAGATTTTCACCTCCTGTTTAAGTTCCTCTATTATTTTCATAAAGTTCCACTTAGAGTCGATTTCTTCTATTTTTCTGGAGTAGGGTGTTCAATTTTTCTAGTTTTGTGATCCCTGGATTCTGGTGATGTCATGTTGCCTTTCAGGTTGTTGGAGGAATTCTTGCATTGGTGCCTGCCCATTTCCTCCTCTCTGGATGGAACTCCTCAGCACTGAATCAGGGACAGCTGGTACACCAAAGACACAGGAGACAGAAGGGGGACCCTCTCTGGATAGAACTCCTCATCACTGAAATAGGGACAGCTGGTATTCCAAGGACACAGGAGACAAAAGGGCGACAGTGAGGGCAGGGTAGCGTCCTGTGGAACACTGAAGACTCTGCTGCAGAAGCTGAGGGGGTGGAGCTGTGCTCTCTTCTGGGACAGTCCACCCCGGCTCGCACCCACTCACCTCTCTAGATAGAACTTCTCAGCATTGAAATAATGACAGCTGGTATTCCAAGGACACAGGAGACAAAAGGGTGACAGTGGGGGAGCCAGTCTTATTTCTTACCTGCCAATATCTTTCCCATATTTGTAATGTCTTCTGTGTCCTGCAGACTTTAACTAGTACCATCTGTGTGAGCCTGTAGGCTTACCATTTACCAGTGTGCGAACACATAAATGCATACAATGCCTCCCTCACCCAGAACATGTTAGGTCTCAACAGTTCAGCTGCAAGTGGTAAGGTCTGTCTCTTCTCATGATTACTACTGTCAAGGAGGGCAGGTGTTGATTTTAGTGGATAGAAGGAGTAGAAGAATTTGAGTTTTGTTGTTATATTTTTCCCCAAGACAGGGTATCATGTGCCTCAGGCTGGTCTCAAACTCCTTATGTAACTTTGAACTTCCTCTTTGAACTTGGGGTACCCCTACCTCTACTCCCTGAGTTCTGGGATTACAGAAGTGCACCACCATTTATGTGGTGCTGGATAAGGAACCAGGGCTTTGTGACTGCTGAGCTGTCACTCTCCCAGCTGATTTTTATCACTACTTTTAGATTTTCTTTTTCACAGACAAACATCAGTGGTCTCAAATGAAAATAAAAAATTTAAGCAATATATTAGCTTTAATGGTATACATATTAACACATTGCATCATTTATCCATCTGCAGTGTAATTTTCTATGGTTTTAAACGTGGTTCTATATGGTTAACAAGCTACACAGTCCGCGAGTTTTAGAACATTCTTATCACTTTCCTCTCATCACTTCAAAGCAGCTCCCTGACATTTATTAGCAGTGGACCAGAGGAATTTTAACACAGACACACACACACACCAACACACACACACACACCGACACACACACATACACACATACCACTTCCTATTAGCTTTTCATACACTCTTTTTATTATAACCCATAGTGTTCAGGATCACCTGCAGGCTTGAGTCTCATTTCCTCCCTCTGTAAAACTTGACCTCATTGAACTGTGCCTAGCAACCTGTCCATTGGGATATACTAGATCCAGCCACCTCTCCCAACTCAATTGGACTGGTCTAAATGACCACTCCATTATATTCTTTTACATAGTGGTGACTACTGCCAAAAAATATTCTCACAATTTAGTAAGAGGGATATACAGGAAGACCCTCAGTGCTGGGCAAGGGGGAAGGAGGTGCTCACGTGGGAGTCATACCTTGGGAGAAGTGACTTTATTTGTTAGCTGGACAGGTGGGGACAGATTCAAAGAGATTTTGTTTGTTTGTTTCTATTTTTTGTTTGGTTTTGTTTTGCTGAGTTGAAATGTGAAAAAGGATGAAATATCTTTCAGAGAATCACCAAGAAGCTTTGTAAAGATCTGCATGCAGAATGCAAATGCTGGCTTTATTTCATGTATTTTTGAATGAAGTCAGTGGTGGTAAGGGGGTATTTCATGTCAATAAATTTATTTAACTTTTGGTGAAGAGATAGAACCTTTGGTCTTCCTGGTATGATAACATTGTTTATTTATTCTGCACAGAATGTTAACTCACTGGCAGTCAAAATAGTCTGTGATGAACTTCATGATCTGTCAAGGCTAAGAGAATACCAAAGTTCTGGTGATGCAGAGGTGAGCCATCTACTGGCTGTAGCCCTGGACCCACCCATCTTTCCAATGTATAAACACCACAAGCTCAGAACTCTTCAGCACCATTGGTGGAAGGGAAGCCCTGCAAAGAGTAGCACACAGCTGGAGGGAGAGCACAGAGGGGAACATTGCTGACAGACAAGCAATGATGGACCTGACTTTAGCTCTCTCACTGGAAACCTGGATCCCCTTAGCTATTGCCCTGGTGCTCCTATACAGGTGAGTAACCACTAAAGTTCCTCTTCCACCATTTCCTTGAAATTAGGGTTGTATTCAGACCTCTATTGTGGTATTGACTGCACAGTCAAAAGTGATATAGGTATCAGGGGCTGGGGAGATGGTTCAGAGGTTAAGAGCACTGACTACTCTTCTAGAGGACCCAGGTTTGAATTCTGCTGTGGCTCACCATTATCAATTATCTGTAGCTACAGTTTCAGGGAATCTGAAGCTCTCCATAGGCACTAGAATACAATTTTAAAAAATGATAGCAGAAGTTGAAATTAACCTTTGCATAAAACATTTTGAAATTACATGTTTTTATGTAGTGGGCTAGCAGAAGCACATGAGATAGGTTTGTGTGTGTGTGTGTGTGTGTGTGTGTGTGTGTGTGTGTGTGT